CGCAGACATGCTGCAAAGACAAAAAGATCCAGTGCTGTCTCAGGACTTCTGGCTCACAAGAGGCACGAGAACCATCCGAAGGGGGTCGAGGAAAAAAGTGTCTCGTCGCTCCTCGGACTCTGGCAGCGCAGGCAAAACTAGCTCAGAGCTCGACGGGGTAAGCTCCAAAGACGAAAAAGCTCAAGCCTCTGCTTGTTCGCTGATCACAGTGCTGTACGTTCAGGGTAAATCATCCTCAATGTCTGGCTGTCTGAACTGCTTCTCTGCCCCTCTTGTGAAAGAGGCACAGGTGGGGGAGTTCAGGTCTCCTAAAAGTCTCCCTCGCGCCAGCAGCGTGATTTCTTCAGCGGAGGGCTCATCTCGACGCTCCAGTGTCAGCGGCGACTGCAGGGCGACTGTCCAAACCGAGCAGCAGGAGCAAGCACAAGGACAAAACTCTGACGTAAGAAACATTGAGCCTGGGCCCGTTCCTCCGGTCAAACCTCCAAGAGATCCAGCGGTTATTGTTCCCACAAAACACCACAAATCCGTTTTGCAGGAGCCGCCTCTTGGTTCGTCGTTCACCTTTAACTCGGTTTTCTCAGACACAATCTTCAGTGATTCTGAGATCACCGCAACAATCTTGGACACTATTGACATGAGCACAAATTTCCTCGGTCCTAATCCGTTGGCAGAGCAAAACTTTCCCCCCGAGAGAGGAGAAAACGCTGAGGAGACACCGCAGACACGGCTCAGCTCTGGAAACGAGCAAAGCAAAACAGCAGAGGAAGCAAGAGGGCTCACAGTCGAGGACTGACGGCTTTCAATCACGTAACACCTGGTTCTTATGGGTCCTTCAAACACATCGGTTTGAATCAGAATACACAGAATTGGCTGTGATACAAATCTTCAGAAAGTGTCAAATAATTAATAGTATTCTTTTTTTAGATATTTGTGTTTTTAGGACTTTTTATTTTGTTTGTTTATAAGTAAAGGCCAGTGTCAATTGTTCACTCAGTGTAATATCGGGACAATGAAGTGTCTATTTTATTTATTTTCATATTGAATCGAAAATACTTATTGGAGATGTGCAATATTTTTCAGGTAGAGTTGTATCAGTACAGGACAGAATGTCCAGATGTTGATGTCTATGATACAGCATGAGGCTGTGAATCTGTGACCAGGAGTCAAACAAAATGTTACACTGTAGTTTCTGTTCACAGTTATGCCAAGTTATTATTAACTGTTCGTTAAAGTTATTATTATTATTATTATTATTATTATTATTATTATTATTATTGGTTAAACTGGTGCTTGTCAGTTTTTATTTTGCCTATTTTCTTTTACTTATGTGACAATCCTGTTATTTCATCTATTTGATTTTTGCTCAATCTCAGTGTTCAAACTCCCCTCCTAAACCTGTAACTTATTATTACTCTAGTAACTAGGAGTTATATAATATTAAAGCGTGACCAAATGACTATCCTGGATGCCGTTTTCCTATAATAAAGCGAAAAGACGTTTAAAAAAAATAGATGAAAGCCGATGTGTTTTATTTTGAAGTCCTTGTCTCCGCCCCTGTATTCTGATTGGATTGTAGCTCAGGCACGTGATGCTAATGCGGAAGTTGACAGTTGAAGTGCGAAACCTGCACATTCGTGGGTGTATTGAGTGGGGTACAGCTTTACTGGGCCAGCTGGAGTGGTTACATAAACTCTACCGGATAACTCGACGCCTGAATCCGGGCTTTGGCACGATGTTGAACGCCGCCGCGGCAGAGAGGAACAAGGAGCCTATTCTGTCGGTGCTCCGGGACAGCGTTAACACCGAGAGACCCCTGCAGGCTCTGGAGATATCCTCTGGCACCGGGCAGCATGTCGTTCACTTTGCACAGACTTTGAGAAATATCACCTGGCAGCCGTCTGAGTATGACCGCCAGTCTCTTGCCAGGTAAACACAGGTGTTAGTTAGCTGTCTAATAACCTTTCAGGGCTTCTGTAATATCATTTTCAGTCAAGGTAATCTGTGCTTTATGCTTCACAGTAAATGTTTTGTGTTCTGCTTTCAGTATAGAAGCCTACAGGTCTCACTACCAGCTGCACAATGTGAAGCCTGCCATCCACCTGGATGCTTCTCAGCCTCATCAGTGCTGGGGAGGGATTCGGCCTGAAAGCCTTGACCTGGTGCTAAACATCAACATGATCCATATTTCTCCCTTGTCCTGCACAGAGGTCAGCCTGGAAAATTATTTTAGCTTCATGTTTCAAACACACACACACACAAAAAAAAAAATCCAAGCTCTTACTATTTAATCCTGGAACATTCTGTACACATACCATTCCTCAAAGTATTTTGGCTGTGTTGAATAAATGTAGCTTAAATGCAGCAAAGGATATATATTTTTAAATAGAATTAGTTCAAGTTAGCCTAAAAGACAAAAAAATATATAAAAAATATACCCATTTATTTCTAAGAACAAAAACGTTCTCATTGCAAACCGCTGAAATGCATTTTTTTGTTATTATTATTACATTGCTTTGTGTTGAGATCTCATTTTGGATTATTCGTTTTTTTTTCCCCTCTCATATTTAGTGCCTTTTGTGGAAATATATATATTTTTTAGTTAGTTTAAAAAAAAAACGAGACATGAACTGAACTTAAAAGTGTCAGAAACCTTTAAATATAATACCTGATATGAGTATTTAGACTCATTAGGCGGTTATTGATTTTTATTTTGTAATTAGATTATTTGCACACAAGAGGGCAGTGTAGTACCAGAATCCATAGGCGTGGTCACCTCGTTTTCAGGTAGAGAGAGGTTTAATTGACAGCAAGTAGAGTTTCGATGCGTGGCAGCTGAAATATAATAACAATAATAATAACATGAAGTTGCATCCAAGCAACCCTTTTTGCATCCAAGCTATTTCATAGTACCATTACCTATCAATTCCTCTTTGTATTTTTTTATGAATTATTGAGATAATTACAAAATTACTCAAACCTCATGATGTGATTTATTTTAATTCTATACTTTGATTTGAAGATTTTCACATTGTTTCTGAGCATTGTGGTTGTGGACCAATTAGAAACGCATTACCCTACAGGACAATGTGAGTAGGTTTAAGAAAATTACTGCAGTTGAAAGTACATATACTAGTTGTCAAAGTTGTGTTAATCAGACATGACTAGTGAAACACAGGCTTCTAATGCTCTAAGCCTTTTCTTTTCTGCAGAATTTAGGTTATGACTCTGGTTTTACATGAACCTCTGTAGATTGTCTTCCAGCAGTCAGAACTGGTGAGGTTGTTTTTCGTGCGTCTTGAATTGAGTGTTTTGCAGCTTAGAAAGTTTTTTATTTATATGGTAGTATTCATCTTTTAATAACTGACCTGGTTTGGTTAAATACTGAACGCTGCATAAAGCTTCCCCTGAGTGTATTTACATAACAGCTCTTCAGATGTGCAGCTCTTCAGATGATAACTGCAGGCAGCTCCAAACAAAAAGGTTTTAGTAGTTTTCCACTTTCCAGCCTCCGTTTTATGTGATGTGGTTCTGGTGCCCTGAAGACATCACTGTTCTCTTCTAGGGATTATTCAGAGGGGCTGGAGTGCTGCTGAAGCCACAGGGTCTTCTGTTGACATACGGGGTAAGTGAAAAACATTTAATGCCATTATCAGATCCACTCACGACTGCTAACGATTAATACTCTCAGCCGTATGCGGTGAATGGCCAGATCACCCCACAAAGCAACGTGGACTTTGACTACAGCCTGAGGCAAAGGTAAGATGATCTGTTGTTTGTTTAAATAAATGCACCAACAAAAATGTTTGCTCATCATCATCATCATCATCATCATCAATCACTGAAACTTCAATTCAGATACCACAGCTACTTGATTTAATGCAAAACTCTGGAAATGTTTTTCTCACCATGATGGATTCTTGAACTGAAGACTCTTGATCCACTTTCTAATTAATTTGGTTAAAAATGATCTCACCCATGGAGCATTGAAATTTTTATTCCCATTTGGTTAATTTAAAAAAATGACAGAAAGTAACATTGAATTATATACCACTGATCTCAATGTACATGAACTATTCAGAATGGAAGTGCATCAAAAGCAACACACATCCTTCAAACCTATCGCAGGACTTCATCCTCCACAAAGTCCGCTTATAGATCCTCGTAGAACATGTTTTTGTAACAGAACCGCCTGCTAAATGAATACTTTTCAAGCCATTAGTGATCAGAATATTACGTCTCTGCAGTTTTTCTTTGTACCAAAGCTCGGTACTTGGTCTCACTCTCTGGACTGGTTGCGAACCTGCAGTTGGCTGCTTAGTAAAAGTTCTGCTTGTAGTTTGGTAAAACAGAGCCTCCTTAATGAGAGTGATGTGTGAGACTCCATTAATATTCACGCCAACTGTAACATTTTGGAGCATTCAATTTTGTAGCAGCCTTCTTTCAGCCAGCTGACTGGCAGTACAGTCACTCCAGGACTACATATGGCATCTAATTTAAAGGACTTTAAACTGAAGGAGAACTATATGGCTGAAAAATCCAGGGCTTTTAAAAGAACCAAAACAATAACTTTGTATTTACTTAATTTTTTTATGTATAATGTTTAATCTTGCAGGAATCCAGAATGGGGACTAAAGGACATCTCATTTCTCAATTCTGTGGCACAGAAAAATGGTTTATTCCTGGAGAAAATTGTAAGTATCTATTTCATAAGGGAATCTGGCACATTTTTTTTTCTAAAAGCTATCTCAAAAGGTATAGTTTTTAAACTTAAAATGCTTTAAATTTGTCTAGGTGGAGATGCCAGCAAACAACAAATGCCTTCTCTTCAGGAAAGAGAGTTTGGTGTGATCCATCTCTGAGGCGAAGGATGGTCCAAACACCTTAATTTCCACTTGAATCATTGTATAACTTTGCACACATTATTTCAATCTTAATTGTTTTTCTCTCTGTGTCAAACTGTTAAGAACTGTACAGGTAAACGCTGACATGAAAGTTTATTTTTATCATCCTAGGAAAGACAAATGTTATATTAGTAACTAAGCATAAGTGCTTTTTAGAGGTAGATAACCTAGAATACACAGTACATGACTTGAGGGGCAATACACACAAAAACGTTTTTAAGAGCACATCAAATAAAGTACAGTCATACAACAGTGACCTATTTTAAATATTACTTACTGGATTTTACTCAACATGATTAATTTGGTTAGCAGCTATTTTAGCTGATTTTTTTTTCATTTGCCATTAGAAATTACAACGTGTCATAAAATAGCATTTTAATTCTGTATAAACTGTCTCACAATATCTTAAATGTCATAAAAACCTTTGTTGGACTGAATATAAACAACTGATCTTCCGTACTTAAATAAAATGGCTGTAGTCACTTATTTGTGAAAATAATTAAACGTACCATTGTGTCCCAGCAAGCTTCACAGTGTTTCACATGTGTTTTTATTGATGGCATCACGAAGCCTGCGGAGCCTGCGTTCAGGTATGGCTTTGACGTAGCTGTCCGGCTGGATGATGGCCATGCCGTCCTGCACCATTCCCATCACCAGTAAGGGGTTCTCCTCCATGGTGATGTTGGGACAGGGACAGCTCCAGTCAATCTTGACTATGGTCACTTCTAGGTTTTTGGTGTTGAAGAAAGTCAGGCCCATCTTTTCGTCCCGTAGGACTTCATCCAGACTAAAGTGAGCCAAACCGGAGTCGAGGTCCTCAATGAGCTCAGTCAACCGGCCGACGATGGCGAAGTCACTGCGGCACAGGGTGGGCATCATTTTCCCCCTCATCCGACAAGTTCTGCACGGTTTCCGTTTGGGCTGTGGACAGTTTGCCTCGCACTCCTTTTTGGTGGCAAAGCTGTTTGCATTTCCCTGGCATCCTCCGTAGGCAAAGGGCTGGCATTGTTTCATTAAGGAATTCCAGGCCCAACGTGCCTCCCAGTTTTTGCAGGGACCCTGAACCGCCGGCAGGGAGCAGATTCCCATCCCCTCTCTCTGACAGGACGCTTTGCACTCCTCGTACGTCTCAAAACGGTTGCGACTGTCGTCGCACCCGCCACTGCTGAAAGTCACGCAGGAGCCCAGCTTGCTGTCATAATACCAGTCTACATGACGCTCCCCACTGCACACTCTAGTGTCGACTTCAGCAAGGCAATCGGCTGGAGAAAACGGCCGTCCCATAGGCAACTCGGGATCTTCGGAAAACTCATCATCAGCTCGGCGAATAACAGACAAGGGGTAATCCGCTTGGAGAACTCCTACAGAGTTTCTTGCAATGCATGTGTATATGCCTGTATCCCAGACCTGGGCATTGTAAACCACTAGCTGACCAATGTTTGTGATAACTACATTGCCATACATCTGGTCCGGCCTCATGACTAGCCGCTCACGTCTTTCACTCTGCTTCTCCCAGGTCACGTCTGGTCTGGGGACTCCAATCACATCACAGTGGAAGCTAACGGTGCCCCCAACATAAATTGACTGGTGGTGAGGGTTTGAGTACAGTGTGGGGGGCATGGGGTCCTCCTGGGAGGATGTTGGGGTTGGAGAAGCTGTAGTATCAAGAGGCAACGGACTGGTGTGAGGACCAGCGAGGTAGAAGCGACAAGGAATCACAGTCAAAGTCACTCCCCGGATACAGGCTTCTGCATCCATGTAACAGCGGTTGAAGTAGGTGAGGCCGTCTGACGCACAGGTGAAATAGGGTTCTTTCTCACAGCGGTCCTGGCATTTGCAGATAGGTTGTCCATCCCAAATGTCACAGGTTGCCCCCTGCTGGCTGCAGATGAAGCCCTCACAGGTAGCCGTGGAGGCAGGGGCAGCGTCTCCGTTGCCTCCTCCTTCCTTACCATCTGGCTGAGCAGGCGTGCCGTCGGAGAAACGTGCAGAAACACAACTGTTGAGGCCGCAGACATTGGTGCAACATTTCTCGTGTTCAGCGCAGTCCTGAGAAAGCAGAAAATTCAGGTCGTCACTTATGCCATTTGAAAGGAAAAATGTATTCAGTGTTCAAGAGAAGATTGACATTTTTTTAAAGAAAGTAATTGCGCAGTAACTAAAAAGAGCAACAGGTAAAACCACATATCTCTTAGCTGTAAATAGACTTGTTTTTTTTTTGTTTGTTTTTTTACATATAACCGATACATCTGAGGCAAACCACACTGAACTTCTAAAAAACTGTGTAACTAAAGAAGAAATTACATTTAAAATCTTATTTTTATTTAAATGTTTGTGTATGATCTGACCCCTAGATGCCCAAGCCTGACACTGATGATGATGTCCAAGATGCTAAAGTTCAGATAGTGTTGGAAGCCTTGTCAATTTCCCAATCCTCCCACTACACTCAAAGACATATTTCCTGAGGTCAAAGATAAAAGTGCCTCTGTTTTCATGGGTTACAGTTTGAATAAACACATTTTGGATTTATTTTTAAAAATTCTAATATATGTATATATATTGATCGTACTTCTCAGAATAACTTGTCATCTTATTATTACTCACAGTGACTACTGTTTGAATAATTGAGCCAATGATTTAAACCATCAACAACACACTTTGGGATGTAGTCTAAAGCAGTCGCAAAGTTTGCTTATACCTCAGCCGGCTCTGGACACCTGCAAGAGGTGCTTTAAGGTTTGAATGTCCCACATTATCCAGTATAATAACCACATCACTTCACCTGAGATTTGGAGGAGAAAAAAAAGTCAAACACACCAACTACGCGACTTCCATTCACCCTCGGGGGGTTTTGCAGTACAGAAAACTAATCGTTCAGTCGGTCATCTGAATTTCACCCCACATCCTCTCCACTCTGTCTGGCCTCTCTGTTTTTAGGGTCTCACCTCATCCAAGCTGCATTCCCTCTCGCAGGTGCTCTGTGCATCAACCCAAAGATTGTTGTTGAGCTTGTTGGGACAAAACCCTTCGTGCTCAGCCGTGGCTCCCGTCACGCTGGCAGTCAAGGAAAAGTCGAGAAAATCGCAAATCAAGAACACCAACAAAAACACGCGTGTCCATCTGAAGGGCGGTTTGCTTTGCCACCTTTTGTCCTTTGAATGCCTGACTTGAAAAAGTTGGAGAAGGATCTCAGACATTTTTGCTCCCTTGAACGAGTAATTCCATCCCTCCTTCGGGTCTCAAATAATAGATTGTTAAATATGTCTGTATGCTTTAGAAAAACCGACCAAGTTCCAGTTTTACAGCCCGTGATGTTTAATGAATATTCGCACGAGCGCATGCTAATTGCCTACTTTAAAATATCCCCCCCGCCCCCTTAATACTCAAGGTCTGGAGCAACAAAGAGCAAAATTCACCTTCGGAAACGAACGAAGGACGCAACCAGCTATCCACAATGAGAGAGAGAGAGAGAGAGAGAGAGAGAGAGACGGCTGCAGCCTTTCAGAGTGTGAATGGAGGTGGAAAGGGCACCCCCCCCTCCCATCCTCTCTGACCGCCCCCATGGCCGTCCTGGGTCGGAAACTTTTATGAAGCAACACCGCGAGCAACGCAACTGGACAAACATTGTAAAAACATCAAAGACAAGTGGAGCCACGCTGCAAAGTGCTGCTAAATGGAAGGAAAAGATGCGCATTTTGATTGGAAATGTGCATTCATATTTAGATGAATATCTGCATATCTACGGACACGTACACACACACACACGTAGATACACAGACATGCTAAGAGGCCCTCGAGGCAAGGAGCTTGAAAGGCCAAGCAGAGGGCGTGTCGCATCACGTCCAACACAGCAGCGTCGTTTGCGGCCCCTCTTCTTGTCTAGACATGGGTCAGTTTACCACCGAGCCTCATTGGCGCTTGGCTCAGAGATGCCTCGGCCAGGTGGGAAGGCGTAAAGAGCCCCATTTTCAGCAGGGTGTGACTCGTCTTTTGTTGCCGAGCCGGGCTGCAGATTCAGCTACCACCCTCCCCACTCCCCCCACGCAAGCCGCTCCTTCCTGCTCATCTTTTCATTGGCAGTGACCCTGCAACCTTTCGGTGACTTCTGACCGCCCCGCATTCACGCTCCGCGGCGACGGAGCCCCCCCCGGTTGTCCCGAACTGGCCAATACCGAGGGGAGCAGCTAATCAATTCAGCTCCTCCCCCCTCACCCACAGGTTTTTAATGCACTTCAACACCAGCCAGTCCCTGGACTGGACAAAAAGGAAAGGAGAGGGGAAATTACTCCCACGACTCCCACAGTGGCCCTGATAAATGTTTGAGTAAAAGCATACTTGGAAGTAAAATCTATATTTCCTTGCGATTTTGACCACAACAAATCAAATCTTGGCAAACTTTGAGACATACCACTCTTTTATTCTTTGTTGAATGTTCACATGAGGGGTTTTTGCAGTGCAGAAACACAAAGTCTTACCAAGTATTTTTGGTGTAGTATAGAGAAAATATCTTGAGGCACAACTAACTTACAAGTAATATTTCAGGAAGATGTAGGAGCTTGTTGTAAGTTAATTTAATTAAATTACTTCACTACAGATTATTTCACCTCTAACAAGACATTTTTCCTATTTTATAAGTGCCAGTAGAACTATTTTTTGAATCAATATTAAGGAATTATTGACTCAAAACAATAATTTAAACCTCCTATATCCTGCTGAAAAGTTGCATGTAAGTTAGTTTACTCTTACTTTAAGTGTACTAAGATGAATGCACTGGAAACTACACCAAAAATACTTGGTACGACTGTGTTTTTGTAGGCTATTGTTTTAAAGAGGAACCACGGGGACATGCTCTATTACAACACACTCAGGAAGCTGAAATAAAAATAATTTACATAATCATGAGAATCTGCCACTTATTTGACTCAGAAAGAAAATAAACATTCAGTTTTTATACACATCTTATACGGTGTCTGATGGTCATTTCAAACATTTTGCATGTTGTCTTTAATTTAAATTTTACCTCTTGGAAAACAAAATACACTGAAATGCCATTTCGTTGTTCTTGCAGTACAGAAAGAAAATGTTTCAATGTTCACCGTGCCCGTAGAACATTACGCTTCAAGACGTGACAAACTGCATTTAAACCGTTTAATCTATGCAGTCGGCATGGGCTGGTCTCTGATTAAATCGAGGTTTCAAATCATTAAATTGCAGAGAAAGTACTGAACTGGACTGACGATTTGCAGAGCTGCACCTCCACAAATGCTGGTCAGCTGGCTGAACGACACACACCACAATTATCCCGCATTTACAAAGACAAATGTTTCAGATCCCAAACCCCGGCATAAAAACGGAGAAGCAGGGAGAATCTAAAGAGACACTGCTTGTTAGAATTGGTGTTTTAAAACTACAGTTGGCAAACTCTGTTAGGTAGAAACAAGCAGGCTGAAATAACAGCAACTAAATAATGACAATTTTATTTAACATTTTAGTGTCAGTAGATCAACAAAGTTCATCTACTATAAGAATTTGAGATTGTCAATGCCCCTAAATAATCTAAATTATCCAATTATTGCTCCATATTATGTACCCTGTTTGATATAAGAATATATTGTCTATAAAAGACCAACCACTGTAAAAAAAAAAAAAAACTTTAAGTGAATGCACTGCAAAAACACAAAATCTTAAAAGTATTTTTGTTCTAGGTTCTAGTGCAGTGAATGCACTCCTACAAATTGGAAATATAGGAGCTTGTTTTAAGGCTGAACTTTCTTAATAATGGTTTTACTGGCAGATTATTTCACATAGAAACTAGACCAAAAATGCTTTAAAATAATTTGTTTTTGCAGTGTTTCTAGCTGGCTCCCACTTCACAATATCTGACAGCAAACGAGCTGTCAGATATTGTTTCATACTGAAAATTACTCACAATATCCTAAAGCAAACTAAATGATCCTGCAGCCAATGTCAACGTGAACGAATCTGAAAGTGAAAACACAACGATCAGTGCGCTCGTTTGTACAAGTTCTGTTTTTAATAAGAGCCGAGCAAAACTAACCATGCTGTCGATAGTTAAAACAGTTACACAACAAAGCGGATCCGATTTAGGTTTAAAAAGCCCAGACACAGTGCAGTGATGAATGAACCCGAATCAACAGTTTTGGAAAAGAAGAGCTTTTGTTTAAAATCTGTTCCTCCTTAATTCCACTTCATTAGCATATCTTAAAATGTTTCAAACAAAATGTTCTGAATAAATAGCAAAGCAACACAATTTTTTCCCCTGTACAAAAAGGCCATAAAACACTCGAGATGAAAAACAAACAGGAGAAGCTCATCCACATGAAAATCACTGCTTCACAAATACACATGTATGTATATATATATATATATATATATACATAACTTCAAGTCCAGCTTTAAATACCAGTAAACAATCTCGTTTTTCCTTACAGAAGAGAATCATCTGTAGTGTTAACTAGTGAGAGACAACCCTTGATTCACATTAGTTGATCCCCCAGGAAATCCTTCCTGCCGTGATAGAGAACAGATAATCGAGCATCCACAAGATGGCGCCGGCGAGAGCAAGGAGAACAGAAACCAGTCCGTCAGTCCAGCTTGATTCCTGAACATCAAATAAGTTCATATCTGTTTTCATCTCTGGAAGCTGGGAGCTCTACATGGTCTTCAGCCTTGTGACGTCTTGGAGCAACAGCTTTAATATCTGCCCTGATGAGGGGTGATGAAGGGGCAAATATCTCCTGCCCTCCATCACTATGAGATCTTACAGTTGCCTTTAGAGGAGGAGGACGATGAGGAAGAGGAGGACGAGGAGTTCATCGGAGGACTCTGAGGAGTTTTGAAGGACTTTGAGCGTTTCAGGCTGTTGGCTTTGCTTCCGCCGCCGCCAGACGCCGTGCTGTTGGCGACCGAGTACGAGCGTCCGTGCATCATGACGGCGTTCATGCCGTTGGCCATGGAGAAGGACTTGAGGTGGGATTTGATGGCGACAGGAAGTGGCAGCTTGTCGATGAGGTGGACCGGTGTGCAGGAGACGATCGATCGGCAGCACAAGTCCTGAAGGCTGAAGACTGAGAGGGGGGAAAAAAACAGTAAAAACTATTAAAGATGTATGTGTTGGTGAAGGAAGGAGAAAAAAAAAAGTTTCTCTCTTTTTTTCCTCTTAAATGGAGGTCAAAGAAAGAAAAAAACAAAAAAAGAATAAAAATGTTATTTCTTAATTTTTCTCTTTTTTTCTGTTTTTATATTTTCTACCTTTTCTTTCTTTTTAAGAGAGAGAAAGAGAAATAGAAACCCGTGAGGAGAAAAAAGAGAAAACAATGGAGAAAAAAAGTAGAAAGAAAAAATACAAAAACTGAGTGGAGAGTACAAGGAAAGGCTGACTCGGCTTTAAGACAACTGGAAGAATAAACTGGAAAGACATTTTTTAAGTTATGTATTCTGTCTCGCTTTACCTTTAGGAAGATAAAAGGCAACGCTCTCTTATTGGATGCTTAACATTTTGCCTGTGGAGCAGACGAAGCTCATCACATGAGACGCTGACTCACCTCTGTTGGGCCTCCAGAATTTCTCCATGCCGTGCCTCATCAACACGATGCGCGACAGCTCTGTGAACGACTCGATGACGTTGAAGTTGCAGAGAGGGCTGACCTCGAAGAAGGTCATGCTGTTCTTTTCGGCGTAAGCCCTCGCCTGCTCTGTCGGCACTTGGCGCTTGAAAGCCAGGTGAAGTCGGTTTCCGACAAGGATCCTGGGAACGCCGGGAGCATGCTGAAGGAAAAGGAAATCCTCCTATTATTCTGTTTCAGGTACATGTTAAAAAAAAAAAAAAAAAAAAACTCCACTTGTCTTCTGAGCTGAGGCTTAACATCAGACCAGGAGAGTGTGGATGATACACTCTCTTGTTAAGGTGTCCTCATTCCTTATACGGTCCAAAATGTGTCAAACAGCAGTCAAAGACAGGAATCGATTTTCTTGTCTTGTATTTAAGTGACAAATCATCATGAAATAAAGTTTAAAGGTAAAAATGAAGGAAAGTGATTCATGCTTTCCAAGGTTCCCCCCAGAAAACTTGCTAAGCCTGGGGGTTGTGCGCAGTCCACTGTGTTTTTGAGTTAAAAAATGTTTAAAGTTGACAGGAAACTTGAAAATATCCCTTAATAATTATGTGTTATTGAAAGATTAATACCTGAACACCAACTATAAAATCTTAAAAAAATGACAACATTTTAAAAAGACTTAAACAAATAAGCAATGCTAAGCCTGGTGGCCCGCCAGGCTTATAATACACTCCGGGAAACCCTGCTTTCAAAATCTTTCACAAGTAAAAATCTGAGAAGTTTGGCACACAATTACCTTCAGTACCCCTGATTTGATTTGATTCTCAACTGGGTCTGAACTTTGACTAGGCTGTTCTAAAGCATGAATGGTTTAGCTTTGAGCTAAACCATTGCTTCTTCTTCTTCACAAGTATTTACTAATTGGTATGGATGTAGCACAAAAATACCAATAAATTATATTGACTGTGGTTGTAATGTGGGACAAATTCAATGAGAATGAAGATGTTAGCAAGCCACTGTACTTTCAGTATCAGTACATGTTTCTCACATACCATTTTTCTGTCAAATATAAATGGATTAAAGCGATTACCTCATCAATTTCCCGGATCCAACGATCGATCCCATCAAACGACCAGCCGTTGGTGATGTCATATACAAGCAGGATGCCCTGTTCAGAAAAAAAAAAAAAGAAAAGAGAATCATATAAAGAGATTCAACATGCACAGGATCTCACCGGGAATCAGGATGGAGAAATATAAATAATCTGCAAAAGCTACATGTGAGTGAAAAGGCATGCTTCAGCTTTTAAACGAATGCTTCCAAGTATGTCATTTACCTGCTGCTTGGTTCCTGTAACTTTCAAATTTGAGAAAAAAACTTCTGCAACTTTGAAAAAATTTAACTGCGCAGTCTTAGCGGTGGCACCACTAAATGTCAGACATGAAACCAAATCCACAACAGCCTTTCAGAAATGAGGCCAGCCACCAAGTTGCATGAGAAAAGCGCATGTATCTAATGCATTTAGCTGTATTATCTATATTGCAGGTAAATATTTAAATCTTTTAAGAAACAAGTTAAAGCTGCTTTCGGGATTACCTGTGCTCCACGAGAGTAAGACCTGAAGATGGTGCAGAATCTCCCTTGGCCAGATGTGTCCCTGTCAAAAGCACAGATGTAAGCCCCGTGTATTTTTAAATATAACACGAAGATACAACACCAACAAACTTGTCATTTAGTGATGCTGAGGCCTCACCAGAGCTCCAACTTCACCCGTCTACCGTCCAGCAGAATGGTGGTGGTCTTGTAATCAATCCCTGAAACCACACACATTGAGTTCATGTCGATCTCTCCCATCCACCACCTCTGACGGAGTGAATAAGAGATACTTACCGCTGCTGTAGGCGTATGGAGACTCGACAGATCCGTCCTGCAAACTCTCCAGGATTTCTCCTTTTCCTACGTCGCTGTCCCCCACGAGAAGAAATTTCAAGAGATAATCGTAGCTCTTGACGGGGCTGCTTTGAGTTCCCATCATCCCACGCATTGGATCTGGTTCACTGTGAGCTTTACAAGCTCCCCGGATTGAATATGCTGTTCGGGGGACAATCTGGAGGGCTCCCCAGAGAGCCAGCGGACTCTAGTCGACAGTCGCTAGCACTGGCTAACCAGTTAGCTGGTAGTCGAACTTGAAAAAATTAATTTCTCTATATAGCTCAATCGTTAATATGCTGCAAATTATATTCCCCACTGCACTGAAATGCAAACTATAATCATGAATATGGAGGCAGTATTGTTCTAGTAAATTTTCAAAACAACAACATTGGCTGCTAGCTCTCCCGTTAGCAAGCCAGCTAACTTAAACATTAGCGCTGCATTCTTTAAAAAACTGAAGCCGTAAAGTTAAAACTAGCCGGTTTAAACTAACTTGTAACGGCACTCGACCAAACCAAATCAGAGTTTGTCTCCACTTGATCGCGAAAGACTAAAAAGCTGAAGTAAAATAAGAGGGCCTCCCTGACTCCAACGACGCTGTGATCGAACTGTGAGGGAACAACCAGGCAGTGACACCATACACGGTGTCACTTCCGGTAAGTTAAATTCGAAGTAAAGGTGAACCTTTTGCAGAAAATATGATTGTTGTTTATGCAAACAAAACGTCAAAGACTGGAGGAGCTGGTTTTAAACCTGGAATTTTATCAGCTCATTTTTTAAAGATCAGAAGCAGAAAAATGATTTAATGGTGGGAAGTATTGTATGAAGCACTCTGAAGATGCCTTCATCTTGAAAATGTGGCTCTTAAATTCTTTTATTTTATTGTTGTTGGGTTCAAACTTGTATCTTTTTGCTTTGTTTTTTTATTTTATGTTTTTAGCTATATATATATATATATATATATATATATATATATATATATATATATATTTTTTTTTTTTTTTTTTTTTTTTGGGGGGCCCCCCAAAAAAAGGGGGGAAAAAAAAACACCCTTTTTCGCACAAC